GCCCCTAGATGCACTGGCTGGCTTTGCCGTTCTTTCTTTACTACTCAGTTTCTGATTATCTGGTAAAAGTAATATCTCCTGCTCTTGAACTGTGTGCGCGTGCACGCATTGTTCTAGTTGAAAGGCTCGATAGGGAGTGTTACGCAACTGTGCCTAATCTTTATCCCAACACAAGGAAAGCAGAGTTAGCAAATGTGTTCCTGCAGTATAAAAATCTCTTTTTCTCTCCCCCCTCCCTATTTTAAAGTGTCTGTACTGGAATCCGTGCTCTCCTGCGAAGCCATAAAGAATGGCATGCCAGCTGTCTCCAAGCTTTTACAGATGCCGTAAGTCCTTGTTGCTTCAGTCTCTGTAGACTTTATACTATCGTTAATCTGAGCAAAGCTGTCTCTGCTCTCATCGTTCAGACTAAAGATTTTTTTGGGAGAGGGGGGAGAATAATGTCTCAGACATTTTCCTTCAATTATTCTGACCCTAGCTGCAGTGTAGCATACGGTGCATTCACACACCCAGGTGGTGGTACTATTTCATATGAGGGACTTCTAATTTTCAGTTGTAATCAATATACACCTGCAAAACCCCTCCCCATTCATTAAAGAGGGGGGGAGGTGTTTATCAAAACAACCCCCCTGGAAATGGTTATTTCTAGCTAAGGGTTTGTTTATATGGAGCAATAACGTGGAGTATGGGGGTGAAATTGCTCAAGTGCACTTACGTTCTGCGTGTAAATTGGCCCATGTAGATTCGGGGTGGGCAGTACTTTTTGATGGGGGGAGGGACACTCCATAAATTTGATAAGTGGTCACAGGCTGCACTCTTCCATGATATTAATGGAGCAGTGGTGGGGTCTGGGCTGGAAGCTGGGTTCAGGGTAAGGGATTGGGGTGCAGGAGAGATGTGGGGTCTGAGAAGGAGTTTGGGTGCAGGAGACCAGGAATGCAGGGTCTGGGAGGGGGGTTGTGAAGTGGGGGAGGGGTGCAGGAGCGGATATGAGGGTTTGGGTTGTGCCCAGTGCAGGGTCTGGGAGGGGGTTTTAGGTGCAGGAGTGGGGGGGCAGAGGGTTGGGGAAGGGAGGGGCTGGAATGCCAGAGGCAGGCTCTGGCCAAGTGGTGCTCACCTGGGCCAGAGGAAGAAATTGGCCAATGGGCGCTTGAGATTGCGCTGCAGGCGGTGGCTGCATGCAAAGCCTCTTCCTCTCTCCCCCTCCACCCCGTCACAGGTGGTGCTCAGTGAAGCACATGGCCCCTGAGCCAGCCCCTGAGCCAGCTGCTGTGAGCCACATGCAGGGATGGGCAGGCAGGGAGTTCCTGCAGGCCAGATCCAACAGCTTGGTGGGCTGAATCAGGCCTGCGGGCCATATTTTGCCCACCCTGGTGCAGCATGGTGCTGTTTAAGAGAATACTGTATTAAAGTATGGTCGGGAACATTACCGTTTCCCCAAACACGGAAATAATGAACTCCAACACATGTAAGCCCGATTTCTGTGGCTTCTTGCTGTGCTGGTTTAAATAGTGGATAGCCGCTCTCCGTTACGAACACACGTGCTAGCACTTGGAGGGATGATGATAAAACAGCTAAGATGCTGTGCTGTAGGGGTCACTGTTCTTTCCAGATGTGACCCTGACTAGCTCAGACGGGAAGTGAGCCTGCAGTGTGATTAGCTCAACATTAATGTTCAAAACAGGGAGTGGGCAGAAGTGTTAAGCTCGGCCTTTTAGAGTTGTGGACCAATTTCTCGGTGTTTGGTTTACCACACGTTTGGGGGCATAATGCGGAGTTCTGGATCCTCTGGTGGGAAAGGGTCAGTGCAGTTGTGTATCATTTCTCTTTGAGGGGGAGAGAGGAAATGAACAGAAATCTGACAGCAGGGAAGTGATATTGGTATAAGAATTTACAATGGTCACGAGTTAGAGAAGAGAATCTATATCCAGCCCGATCTGACGTGTGCCATACCAGACTTCATTCCCTTTGCACTCGGCACATATAGATTGGGAAGCTGGATTCACATACATGCCAATACAATAAAAGTAACCCTTTCTCTCCTCGTGGATAATAATGTTCTGTAGAAAGAATCTGTGTTTTGCATGGGCACATAATTACAAAAGAGAGAAAGGCGGGCTGGGGAATCTATGAGCTAGTTTTTGAAGGGACTCTGACAACTTTATCACATGTTTTTCTGAATTCTCTACCTACTATTGTTCCTAAATGGCTGGATCTGGGATGTTGGATAAATTCATCACTTTTATAAATGTGGTGATCTGCAGTTGTGTCAAAACTCTAAACTGTTGGTCACAGTGGATTTAACGCTGACCCTTCACTGGACAGCCTTCTAGTGTTTGTTCCAGAGGTGCGTCTACATAGCAGGGCTTAACTCGAAATAAGCTACGCAAATTGAGCCACGTCAATTGCGAAGTTTATTTCAGAATAGCTTATTTTGAAATTGAGAGCATCTACACAGCACTCTTCCTCCGACTTCCCTTACTCCTCATACAATGAGGGTTACAGGAGTCGGAGTAAGAAGTCCTCCAGCTTGACAGTATTTCAACATTATTTCAAAATAACCGCCTGCTGTGTAGACGGGACTAAGTTATTTCAAAATAACACTAGTTATTTTGAAATAATGCTGCTGTATAGCTGTACCCTAAAGGAATTAGAACATAGCTGGAAATCTTACAGTATGTCTGTTTTCAGACTAACCTTGCCCTCTAGTGTACTTCCCTTGTGCTCTGAAAAGGCAGGATTGAATGAAATGTTTTTCTTTGTTCAGTTACTTTAACTGCAGTAGTTATAATCCGGGTACACAGAAATGTGAAACTTTACACAGATGTCTTCTGTGCTCTTCATGTTTTGACTACTAATATAGACTGACTGTGCAAACAGAGTTTCTCTTCAGAAAGAGGAGTGACGTTTAGATGCAATGTACAGAAAATCCCAAACCTGACCCTTCCCTGTAGTCCTGCTGCCATTTGAAGTAAAGGGAAAGTTGGCTTTGGGGTGTTCTATGCAGCCTAACTCGGACTACCTTGTTTCAGTTCTTCTCATGGCCTCTCCTAGAGCTGTTAGCTTGTCTGGCTGCATTCCATGTCAGAGGGGGCTGCGTTTCGGGGAGGGCTCTCCATGTGCATTGTGACCCTTTGGGTGAAAAGCACCATGTATGTGCCAGTGCAAAGAGAAGTGGGTCCAATAAAAGATATTCCCTCACTTAGTGCAAAGAATAAGCAGCAGTGGAGGAGAGGTGGTTGTGCTGCGTTCTCTCCTTGACCCTTGCTGTCCCTTGGAAATAACATCCGGACCTCAACTTTTCTTTCCTTTCAGATTGTTCAGTGACGTTCTGCTAACGAATTCGGAGAAACCACAGTTTAAGGTAAAGTGAACAACGCTCACGTATCCCGACGTGCTTCTGGCTCTGAGCCTGGGCACGATCCAGCCGAAATGGGGGGTAGGGTAAATGAGGGGTGGGGAAGAAGACAATGGCTTAGTTCCAGGCTGCAAATTCACCAGTGCTGCTGCTGCTTTCAGCAGCACTTCACAGGGGCGCTTGTGTGTTCGATTCCTCATTGAAACATCTGAGGGAGAACGTTTAAAATAAATCTCATTACGTGTTGCTTCAGTGTGATGTCAGTGGCTGTCCCTTGCTAGGACACTGACACAAGCGAAGCAAACTAAGGGATTGGGCATGGTGGGGGAGGCTCCTGTGCACCGAATGCTGCTGCTGCATCAAACTGTCCCTCAAAGGTGAGTTGCTTGGACATGAGGAGTAACCGCCTGACTTTCTTTGGTGGTTCTTGGTTGCCAGAGGAGTAAACGTGAACATACAGTTCTGTAGGAGAATCAGGACAAATGCCTGTTTGGAAGAGATTGTAACATGATGCAGGTCCTGTGCTATGTCTGTTCTTCAGTTACTTGCCATGTGGGTTGTGACAGCAATGGCAAGAACAGACTCCTGCAGGACTGAATCTGAGTCGTCTTGCCACTGAATGGAACCTGCCCAAACCATCCACGGGTCCACGGCCCAGCCTGCAACACCTTTGTTTTTCACTCCTCTGTCCTGCGTGATGCTCTTTTCCTGTTGCTGAAGCTGGCAGCCAGGTTTGGAGGGGAACAGTGCTTGCAGAAATCCCACATGGTCTAGGTGGACACAGTGTGAGAACCTGGGTCCATATCCTAGATCCAGAAGCGGGTGTTTAGCAGTGAAGCTGGGTATTAATTCTGCTTTGCACGTGCCATACCATGATTCTTCTCTTTCCTTTACCAGATTCCCTTTTCCTGTTGCTGAAGCTGGCAGCCAGGTTTGGAGGGGAACAGTGCTTGCAGAAATCCCACATGGTCTAGGTGGACACAGTGTGAGAACCTGGGTCCATATCCTAGATCCAGAAGCGGGTGTTTAGCAGTGAAGCTGGGTATTAATTCTGCTTTGCACGTGCCATACCATGATTCTTCTCTTTCCTTTACCAGATTCCCACTAAGTTAAAAGAGGCATTGAAAACTTCCAAGGAAGGCATAGAAAAGAGACTAACTGAAGAACAGAAATTGGTAATTTCTGCATTTCTTTATGGTTTCCCCACAGTCATTTTCCTGATCTTAAAAGCCAAAGATTTTATGCCAAATGGTGAACTGCTAAAGACTTTCCATCCATAAGATTTATTAAACCTGCTGAGATACGGCGTGCTTGCGAGGCTATTGCAATAGATGTAAGAAACCATTTTAGAACAGACTCGTTTAAACTGAATTTGATAGAGATATCTTAAAGGTGTGCTGTACAATGCAAGCTACAGAATGAAAGTATTAGAATTGAGAACAAAATAGCTCTTGTTTTCTATTCTAGTACCTTTCTCATATTTAAAAGCTACAAACGCTAAAATGGCTGATTGACAGCATGACGCCAAACTTCCTGGCTCCTGACATTCTCACATGATAGACACACAAGTGATAGATTTTTGTGCACTGTATTGGCTTTTGCATGTGCAGATAAATACATGAAAATCTGTAGGATGGTTTGGGAAGCTGGCTCTGTGTTTTCACCTTGGCTTTAATTTTACATGTAAGTACAATAGGTGCCCATAATGGACCATGTTATGTTGGATGTTTGAATATTAGTTTTGTAATCTTCAGAGGGCTGTTGAAATGTATAGAAAAGCTTGTCAGAAAATCCAGATCTAAAATTTCCCAAAGTTTGGGGTGTCTGAATTAGTTTTTGTCCTCAGTCTGTTTTAGGGAAGGATCCAAGCTTTCTCAAATTCCGGGAGTGGTTTTTGTCTTAGATTTTGTTCCAGGCTCATTTCTAGCTGAGGAAGAGGTCAGTCTGAGATGTATGGAGCCTGAATGCTTTTTAGAGAAAGACTATCCAGTCTGTGTTGGACAATAGTATTGTTGGGACACCTTTGTCATTGTAGACAACTTGATACCTTCTCCCTTCCCTAGTAAATGAGCCAAGGCCTGAATGTGGGCCTGATTGAATGCATGGACCTGCTATTGTCACTTATTGTGGCACTTGCATTAAACATGCTGTCAGAAATTAGAAATCTAATTTTATTTGAACTCTGGTCTCCAGGCCTCCGCCCCAAAGCAGCTACAGAGATCTCAGTTTTTCAAAATACATTCAAAGCCACATGAGTGTTTTCTCTGTGGTTGCCAGATGACTGTTTTGCACATTCACATGGGCTGTTGGCTCTCTCTTGTTCTAAAGATTCACCAGCACAGACGACTGACGAGAGCTCAATCTCACCATGGCTCTGAGGAGGAGAAAAAGAAAAGGAAGATCTTGGCTCGAAAGGTAGATGGAATTGTTGAACTCGAGTGTCTGGCATGCAGGGAAGTATGGACCTTGCAAGTGTCGAACGTGCTGAGGAAGTGAGCTAAATAAGATGTTCTGAGCTAGAACATCTGTGCTGATTTGGAGTCACGTATGTGCTCAGCTAATGCTCTGGGCAGCAATGGCATGGCTATATGAATGCCGTAAATACAGAGAACAGCCCAACCCTTGGCTTGTTCTGCCCAGGAATGGGAAGGCTTTCTCCTTAGTATCTCCTGCATCTCTAATTTGGTTTTGAGGATGTGTTTCTGGCTCTGGATAGTGATATGGTTTTACTACCACCCACAACAGTGGCGGATTCTGTAGCCCCATGGGACTGTGGCTGCAGGAGGACACTCTAGAGAAGGTGTGTCTAGAGCGCTGGGGATCCTTCATGCTGTCATGCCCCTGGGGAGCTGATGCAAATGCTCCGTGCTCGACAGTTAGTGTAATCTACTCGCCTGTGGCGCGTAGCATAGCATGCCGAACTACGCGGCTGGCGAGCCCTGCAAATGCTCGTGTCAAAGCCATCTCGGTGAGGGCCTGAGGTGAACTAATGGGAAATGCTGCTTGTTTATTTCTGTCTTTCTCTCCCCTCCTTGGTTCTTAAAGAAGTCAAAGCTCTCTGCCTTCGAAAGTGGGGAAGAACACTCAGTAAAATACAGCAACTCAAACAATTCAGGTAACTAACAGCAGAGCCTTTTCAGCAGGTTTGCAGCAGTCATTTTCCCGCCCAAATCAAAGTACATACGGCTTAGAAACCTAAAATCACTTTGCATTTTCTGTTGTACACTAATATTAGACCAGCGGGTCTCAAACTTCACTGCACCCTGGCCCCTTTGAGGAGACCAATTGCTGCGTGACCCCAGGAGGTGGGACCGAAGACTGAGCCCTCCTGAGCCCCACTGCCCCGGGTAGGAGGCATGTAACCTTATCCTGTGTGGTGGGGCTTGGGTGTAGGTTTCAGACTTGCTGGGGCACCAACACCAGCCTCGGTGACCCCATTAAAATGAGGTTGCAATTCACTTTGGGGTCCCAGCCCATCGTCGGAGAATTGCCAAGCATTGCGCGTTCCATTATGGTCAAACTGCGAGTTGAAAACCATAGTCACTGACCGACATAGTTGTATTAATGGGTGAGCTCCTCTTAACCTAGTGCTCTGAGCCTTGGACGGAAGCTGCAGTGTTACAAGAGCATTGATCAGTCAACCCATTGTATCTTGTGGAAACGCTGTTGTAACGTGTGTTTCTTATTAAGGCATTACTAAAGTGAAGTAAGGCGCTGTGGGGGGGGAGGTTACTGCATCTGCATCCAGTCCTGAAGATGGGCTCTAGGTTTGAGCTCTCGCCTCGCTGAACTGTTCCGTAGTGCAGCCAGTTGTTTTCATGAGAGTGACTTGCAAGGGGCAGAAGTGTCCATCAGAAAGGGTGTGACTGCTCCAGAAGGCAATGCATTGTGAAATCCAGTCCTCCCTCAGAGGGACTGCTAAAGCGATAGCCTCTGATTAGCAAACTCCCCCTAGAAGGCAGGTGGGGTCCGAGACTGCGGACAGTGGGTGGCACGAATCCAGCAGAGCGTAAAATGTGGCCCCTGAAACCCAACAGCGTTTAGCTGAGGCAGCCTGCCTGCTGTTGAAAGGAAGCGCCCCCCTCCCCCTTGGGGAATTCTGTGAGTGCAGTTGAGATGTTAGTCGGGCTGGCCCTCACGGTGCGGCTAGCCAGTTCGGTCAGGTCGGTGGGAGTTGTGCCCTTGAGTTCTGTGGCAGCAGTCAGTAAAGCCAGACTGTTTCCAAAGGCCCCTTCCCTGTTAATTTGGTGAGCCCAGGAAGCCAAGCTGTCGTTACCGTCTCATTATTTCGTTTAGCAGGCTCTGGAGCGAGCTCCCCTCTGACATCGCCATCATCCCCCACTCCACCCTCGACAGCCGGTAAGTTAGAGCCACTGCTGTGTGGGTCTGTCTTGTCTTTTTTGTTTTTCTATGGCGGGAGATCTTTCTTCCCCTTGGGATGACAGAATTTTTGGGGACAAGAATTGACCATCAAAATCTGCAGATGACATGTATTTACTTCAGATGGCCGGCTCCTTCTGAGCATCCAAGATAGCCATGTAACGTACAGAACCTTTTTCCCGTAGTGCTCCTGAAGATTATCTCTTCATGCAGCACAGATCCTTGCATCTAAGTTTGCACTAGCCTAATCCTACCTTCATTAGTGCTTTCCAGACACCCTCTGGGCCTCGCGTTAGTTCAGAAACGCGCTTTGCTCTTTGGTCATCCAGACTGCAGGTGCTGGCATGCTCTGTTTTGAGATGCAGCAGGTTTGTATTATCTTTGTAACCCCCCCGCCCTGTGTACCTATGATATATCGCTGACATTAGAAATGTAAGTGTCGGGGTCACCAAGGAGCCGCATTATTAAAGGTGCTAATACTGTCCCTTTTCAGAAAGACACATTGATAGCAACTGCCTGTACCTATGCGGTAGAGGCTAGCTCACCTGACTTCTGATCCCAGGGACTGCTGCACTGAACTGCATTAGTCCCTACGTCTAAGTTACACTAATTGGTTAAGGAAGTGACTGTCTGTGTGGTTGGGGTGGATTGTTTGATTTATTGACCTTCTAACAGACACAGTAGTCCACTGACTTCAATAAAAAGGGTTTTTTCCCCTCTCAAGTTCAGAATAATTTTGAGAATTACGAACTCTGTCTTCTCCTCTAAGGACTCGCTCTTTTAGTTTCCCTGGATGTAGGATACTACAATATCACTATATGGTCTGTATTACAAGTAAATGTTCTCTTCCAGGTGTGCCAACTTCTGTTGTTGTGGTTTAGTTGTTTCTTTCCAAGATTTGAATGTGTGGTCTTTTTTTTTTTTTTTTTAAGAGGAATTAGAAAATCTGAGACAGTTCTACCTTTCCAAAATGTATCAATATTTAGAAATGTTACTTTTTGTGTGAAATGAAATTAGGGTTTGGGTTTTTCTTACTTGGATCCATGGTGCATTGTAGGTTTAAACTGGAAGATGCTACCGGCAAGTTTCAGTGTGTTGGTTAAGCTTCTGTGTCCTCTCCAGTGTGAATACCCCGTCTCATATGTAGCTTATCCTTCTAGCGTTGTGCTCCTGGCTGCTTGCTGTAGTCCAATTGCCCCTGCATGCATGCTAATCGCACAGCGCTGTGGCATGCAGGTTGTGGTGATGCTTCGGGCATTCTCCATGCTGCCACCATTTCAGAATGTATCTAATGCATCCGGGATGGGATAAAAACCATTGGAGTGGGGGTTACTGAAGTGCCGAAACAAAGCATCTCTTTGGATATTCGCTATAAGAGAAAGCTTCGGGGCTTGAGTCTGATCTCTTTTTCCACCAGGAATACACCGTTTTCATTTCTGTGCATGTGCAAGCCTTTCAGTGACCTAATGAAACCAAACCCTGCTCCCTGAGTTTTGACTAAGGCCCAAAGTTTGTGGGGCACTAACAGGTGAGATGACTGGCAGAGGTGACCCCTTTTTTCTCCTCCGGACGCTGTCAGTGCACTAGTGTGGAGCTGTGGCGCTAGGATATGCCAGGAGGGAGCGAAAGGGCCAAGAGAAGTGTGTTGAAGAGGGAACTCCCTTCAACAGGCTCCTTGCCCTCCAAGCGTGTGCGGCTGTTGACCTGGGGAGGGAGAGCAGGGGGGCATGTGTCACCAGTACGGAGGTTAAAGTTTTACTGTGAGGGTTAGTGGTATGCTTACCATTACCTGGCCCTTGCCGGTGAAGTTCAGCGGGCAGCCCCAGCCACGGAGAGGCAAGAGGGCTAGGCGGGGGGACCTCACAGCTGGGGCGAGACTGGTGGTGGGAGCCCCCGGCTGTGGCAGGGCTGAGCAGCAGGCCCTGAATTAAAATAGTTAACCAGCTAACTGTTCTGCCTTCCCGAATCCCTCAGCACATGGCCTGGGTGAAGGCCTGATTCGAAGCTCCCTGGGGATCTTTCCAGTGATGTCAGGGCACTTTGGATCGGGCCTTGAGAGGGAACAAAAGGAGGAGACCAGGAAACCACCAGCGCGCCCCCAACTTTCCTGAATACCATCCTCCCTTCAAAGGGGTCTTGAAAGGGTTCTTAACTATGGTGTTTGTCAGACTGCTTCTTGCTTTGCAAGGCCTGGTGAATGAAGAGCTGTACTATGGGCACAACTTCTTTTTTAGCATGTCCTTTTTGTCTCTTGAGTAACAGCTACAGTTCCACACACGTGGAGGAAACCGTCACTTTTTTTTGTACTTTAAATCTTTGTGAAAGCTGCATGAAAACCCAAACCAAAGTCACGCTGCAGCTGCCGGTCTCCTGACCTTGCCATGGAGTTGAACTTGGAATCCCTTGTGGGCAAAATTCAGAGATCTGCTTCAGGAGTGTTTTCAGAAGTTCACCTGCTCACTCAGAGTTTACTGGTGAATGAGGCTGATCTAGAAGGGGGCCTGCATTGTAGTTGCTCTCAGAGCTGGATTGCCCAGCACGTAGGTTACACTCTTCCCATTTAACATGTTTGCCTTCAAAGTTGAGAGACCTTCAGAGCCTTTGAAATGCCACGAAGCCCCATTTTTCTTTGCCCCCTCCTAAAAGGATTCAGAAGTGGCAGAGACCTGCCTTGAGTAGTAGGCTTGTGTCTCCATAGTGAACCATGTTTAGAGCCCTTCGTACGTGGTCATTGATGCGCTGTACTGAGCCCGCGGGGAGAGGTTGGTAAATGACATGAGCGTTGTGCTTGGGGACTTGGCCCCATCGTGGCTGTGAAGTGGAGGAATGAATGCCTTCTGCGGTGCCTTGCCGCTAGCGATTCGTGTGTGTGGCACTTGGCACCGCAAGACTTCGTTGTCTTCTGCATTGCCTCCCATGGGTTCCTTCAGTGGACTGGAAACCTTCGGTGTTTCAAATGGCTTTGTCTCAGCAGGGCAAAGGACCTCCCAACGGGCTCAGGGCAGCCTCTAAACCAGGGGATTTGAATCCTTTTGGCTGTATTGCTTACTGAGGGCCTGCTCTGCAAAGTGCCATGTGCCTTCATTTCCCTTCGCTTTATTCAAGGTTCAGGCAAACAGGCCCCAGCTATGGCAGGTGAGGCTGGTCTCTTTCCAAGCTCTAATGTTGCCAGTGCTAGGCTGCTAGCAAAAATCCAATGAATAATGCAAACAAACATCCATATGCGATCTTTGGAATTTCCAAGGGGCTCCACTTGGCTGTAATTCTGACCCCTTGGCGCGTGCTTTCCAGTGCAGAACGCGAACGTCAGACTCCTGTGTGAGTAGTCAGAGTGACTTTGAAATCTGGGCGGCGGTGTATGGGTGTGTCGTGCAGAACGTGAACGTCAGACTCCTGTGTAGGTAGTCAGAGTGACTTTGAAATCTGGGCGGCGGTGTATGGGTGCACATCCGTTCACGGAGCAGAAACCACACGGGGTGATTTTTATCTTTGCAAATTGCAGTGAAGCCACATACTTCAAGTGTCGCATTTGCAGTCTGTTCATAAAGCAAAATGTTCCCCAAAATGAATCCATTAAATCTGAACGTGTACAGAAATCACAGCTGGCTAACAGACATGCTAGGAACAGAGGAAGGCTAACCTTGTTTTGAATTATTCTCTCTACTAAATCTCTTTGAGGTGCACCTGATTTAGGTGGTGGCAAATGCTGATTCTAATACAGCTTCTTATTCTGCGCTTTTGGCTGGCTAGAGTGGCTGTCACTTCTCTTGCATGTTCATTATTATTATTATTTTTTTGCCTACATGCAAAACAAGTTTTGAATAATGGGCTTTTTAGTTTTGCAGAGAAAGGTCGAACGCAATCCTGTGGCTGGCAGCTGAAGAGAAACACATTCAGAATGGAAATGAGGCGTAAACTTTTAACAGTGGGAATACATACCCATTGAACAATTTCCCAAGGGTGCTAGTGAGCATGTTAAAATCAGGATTGAAGGTTTTTCTAAAAGTTCTGCTCTAGGGATTATTTTGGGAACGTTCTCTGGCCTGTGAGATGCAGATGTCAGACCTGATGTTCATAAAGGTCCCTTCTGGCCACAGAAACTATCCAGAAGCAGGATTTGGACTTGTTTTTCTTCCTTTGTCTTTAAAACCTTCAAGGAGAAAGCTGCCCTGCTGAAGGTCACGGTGTGCTGCTGTTCTACCTTTAACAACACTGCGAGCTAACTGCTTTGCTTTAATGAAGTGTTCTTTTTCTCTGTCTGATCTGCACAGTGTAATAGTTTGGAGGTAAAAAGAAATGATTGGAATGTTTACAAAATGAGTGGGGTTTATTTCCTGTGGCTACGTCTCGTACAGCTTGATTGTTCAGTCGCTCTAAGGCAGATGTACCTTTAGTGTTACTGACAGTGCTTTCAAGACCCCCACAGCTTAAGCTCTGGCATTTTTGGATGGCTGTGTGTTTGTGTGTGAGGTTGAAAACCTAATGTTCCATCAGTCAGTAAAGGTTGTAGAACACAAAAGTGTGGTTCATTATATTACGTGCACAGTTATTTGGCTGATTTTTATATAAAGGGCACTTTAAAAACAGTTCAAAACCAATACATTCTAATTCATAGAAAACTGTCTGTGTGTAACCATTGGGTAACTTAACTAACTGAATAGCTAACAGTGTGATTGCATGACATTAGAACCAGAATAATGACTTGTCTCCCCCTTTTCTCTTCTTTCTCTTTCTGCTGTCTTCAATAGAGCTTACGTCATTTTGAACATGAATTATCGGTAAAGTAAACTCATGCTGATTTTTCTCTCTCTAAACATGCTCTGTTTCTGTATGGGAAAGCTGAACGCAGACCTTGAACTTCTCATGGTAGAAAGGAGGAAAGGAAAAGTAGATCATAAGCTGCTTCATTAATTATTTTAATTCAATATAACCTTGTTAAAAACTATCCCTACAATAATTGTTTGTTTGCATCCCGTTTT